GCACTCCATCTCCGCAGCTCCTCTGAGTCTCAGAGTGCTTTTCTCTTTCCTTCTAGTTGTAGAATTTCCACTTAGCCAGCCTTCCTGTGGTTCTGGATGATGACTGTTTTGTCTTTTAGTTGTATTTTTGAAGTGGTTGTGCGAGGCAGCAATGTCCGGTGTTTACCTATGCCGCCATCTTGGTTTTTTTATGTCTGATATTTTGATGCCTATGGATTCTTGGAATTACTAGCCATAGCAATCAGACAATAAGAAGAAATAAAAGGCATACAAATTAGAAAAGAAGACGAAAAACTATCATTATTCACAGATGACATGATATTGTACATAGAAAACCCCAAAGACTTTGTTCCTCCAACTTTATTCTTCTTTCTCAGGATTGTTGTGACTATTCAGGGTCTTTTTTTATTCCAGGCGAATTTTTGGAGAGTTCTTTCTAGGTCTCTGATGTATGCTGTTGGTATTTAAATGGGGAGTGTATTAAATCTATAGATTGCTTTGGGTAGTATGGTCATTTTAATGATGTTGATTCTACCATTCCATGAACATGGTATATTCTTTCATTTGTTTATGTCTTTCTCTATCTCTTTTTTGAATGTCCTGTAGTTTCTGAGTACAGGTCTTTTATCTCCTTAGTTAAGTTTATTCCTAGGTATCTTAATTTTTGGTGCAATGGTACATGGGATATTTTTGTTTTGTTCTGTTTCTCTTTCTTTTGAGTTCATTACCGGTGTACAAAAAAGCCATAGATTTCTGGGTGTTAATTTTGTATTCTGCTACATCACCTAATTCTGGGACCTCTTGAGAGATGTTGGAGAGCTGGTTTCGGCCCAATTCCTGTAGGCCAGGCTGAGGGCCCCCACTGGTGCACGAATCTGTTCACTGGGACTCTATTTTTATTACAATAACATTGAGAAATTGTTGGATACTTACCATGTTTCTACTTGTCCTGGGAGGGATTAGCCTAGTGAAAAAAATGAAGTTTTTGGTTTCCTTCCAGTGCAAATATTTACAGGTTGGTACCTGTCCATTTTAGCTTTTCCTGTTTAGTCACTTCTTGTTTCTCCTATAGGTTATTTATAAAGTAAATTTTCTAATGGAATATAAACAGAGAAAACTACAGATTTTAACTATACAGCTTGTGAGGATATGAAAGAAAAGGAACCCTCATGCACTGCTAGTGGGAATGCAGATTGGTGCAGCCACTGTGGGAAATAGTATGGAGTTTCCTCAAAAAGTAAAAACGGAACTCTCATTTGACCCAGTAATCCCACTTCTAGGAATATATCCCAAGAAATCAGAAACACTAATCGGATCTTGGTGAGACAGCAGTGGAGCCTTGCTCTCCAAGTCTTGCAATGCTGCCCAAGGATGATAAGAAGAAGAAAGATGTTGGAAAGTTGGCCAAGAAAGACAAACACCCCCATGAATAAGTTTGGGGGAAGGCCCAAAAGAAGAAGTCGTTCAAAGGCTAAATTTGGGACAAGCTCAATAACCTAGTCTTGTTTGACAAAGAAGCATATGACAAATTCTGTAAGCAAGTTCCCAACTATAAGTTTTTA